TTTTAATTAAATGATGGTTAGAAGAAGAAATTTGAATTCTCAGTGAATATCACAGAGAATCTCCTGGTAAGGTCCTTACTGGCAGAATGCCTACATCCTTCTAGGAGATGTGAAATGTAAAGAGTAGTGAGACTCTAAGGCCAGGCCAACTTCTCACCATACATTTTGGGCTGGATACAGAGCTGCATTAATGCTCCTCTCATGCTTTATGACCTGGCTTAATAATCACCTCCACTACTTAATGATCAGTGAGAAAGTTGCTGGGTTCTTCAGCAGCAGCTGCCTCTCTCTGACAGACATGAAAACCACACACCTAAGATGAAAAGTGACAAAAATTTAAATAGTTATTGAGAGTTTGCATTAGACTATGTTTTGAAGGATTCTGTGAAATTGGATTGCAGAGGTGGCAGCTGACAAACTCCCAAAAGTTCTGAGTTCATGTTACTTACATGCAGATTGTTTAAAAGTTAGCACAGTAGCTCGGAGCATATGCATGTGGATGCATGTTTTGGTTTTTGTTTTTTTTTTTTAATGTACATTTTAGGCTGATTATAGCAACCATTTATCCTATATCTACTGACCTCTGTGCTTATTCAGCCTTTATGATGTACTACCACAGCCTGCTCTGCACATCTGGGATTCATCAAATATATCTTAAAAGAAGGAAGTTCCTTCTCTTGGTGTTTGCTGCAAAGTTAACAAAGAGAGACAGTCACCTGTGGAACATGCTTGTTCTGTTAACGACAAAATATAGAGGATGGTTTATTCTCTGCTTCAGTCCTTCTCTTTCCAGGGAAGGAAGAGAGACACTCCAGGTTCACCCTGATAGCTGGCAAACAGGTATTCCATGTCAGTTCAGGGTTATCAAATGCAGCCACAAAAGGTCAGCCTGCATGCTACAAGATCTAAAGGAGGCTGGAGTCCTCCTTGGTGCCAGCTCTCAATCAACTGATCCATGCTTTGCCTGACTAGCTGGCACAAGGACATGAGGAGCCCAGGACTTCTTTGGCCAGTAGGGTGTTGGGTATGAACACAGGTTGAATAAACTTTCTGATTCTCTGATCCAAGGAAGGATGTATTCGTGGTGCTTAACCCCGGTGTCAGAACCGCTCTAAAAAAACAAAACCAAACAAAAAGATCTTGTTTATTCTGGAAAACGAGCATGTGCTGAGCTAGGACTGGAAGACCTTAAAAGCACCACCACATGGCTTGACTGCTCAGGGGCTGTCCATGCACCAGTGCTGGAGTGGAGGCCTTTGCCTCCTGAGGAAAGGCTGCTTGATCCTCAGAAGTTTTCAATATGTGGAATGCATCTCCAGAAGAATCCTACAACCTCTTTCTCTGAAAAGCCCAGCAAAAAGATCTTTCTCCATTTACTGTTCCCCTTTCTACTCACTGCATCATATACCCGGTAGTATGATTAGAACATTCAAATGTTTCATCTGAGATGCACAAGTATGTCAGAAGCTTTTGAGATGAATGTATCAAGCACAGACTCAGTGACCAAGAAATTGCAGAAACTGTCACGGACTTCAGAGATTAGATTTGACTGGCTCATGATCTTAGACAAACATACAATTCACTCAAATTTAAGAAAGTTTTCCTGTCCCACTCCAGCCCACCTTTGCTAAAAAATATCTTAGCTGTATAAGAAAAGTAATTTTTATCCAAGGTTCTTTTCAGTTTTTGTCTCACACTAGTCTAAACTAGAAATGTGGTTGCAAAAGAGTGGAAGAAGTAATTGAGAATTTACCAAAACAGACATTTGAAGGGAGAAGAAAAACCTTAAAAGAAACCAAACAGCCCACAACTCCAAGAAGAACATGATACAATAGCACAGACATGTATTTGTTAGTTTAGTCTTTGTGGCACACTAAAAACCTCTTAATTCACTTGAAAATTTCACTGTACAAAGAAATTGTCTTATTTTTAGCTGTTACTCTTCTGACAGTCTCAAATTCTGTTTGACTGAAAGGTAATCCCTCTTTAAAGGACTTCTTCATGTATATATGTTACAGAAAGATTTAATTTGCTGAGCCTTCCCATGTAGTCACTTAACAAAACTATATTAATTAATATGTATTTATTCAGGAGATTTTTTTTTTCCAACAACAAATCACAGTGGACATGAGGATCCTGGCGCCATTGTGGCTGGTGTTACAGTAACACTATGCTATACTACTTAAAGTAGTGTCAGTGTAATAAAGCAAGGGCAAGTTTGGCTTCTCTTTCTCAATGATTCAGGACTTCTAAAACAGATGGTTTCTGGAATTTTGTTCTGTCACAAAGCATGGTGATGGAAGATTGATCGAAACACAGAGTTTTACCTTCAACCTTCCTTCAGTAATTAAGAACACTGCATTTGAGAAAGTAACAAGAATATAGCCCAACACAACTTAAAACTGAATAGAAAAGGTAATGATAAATCTGACACTCATAAAGCCATTAAATGTCTGAATAGAACAATGCTCCATCTATTTTTATCTGCTTTTTATTTAAACAGATTATAACAGAGTCTTTTCTTCCTGCTTCTATTCTGCCTTTCCGTAAGATAACTTATGGTGACTTAGTCATCATTTTGAAAATTAAATCAGTCCCTTTTAACACTGACTAGCAGCACCACCAGAGGTAAGTAGAGATGCCACACAGGATTTTCCTTGTTGGTTTTGCCACCTCACTCCAGTAAACCAAATCCTAGAAAAAGCTGACAGTTTAAACAGTGTACTGGTATGGAGACTGGTCTCAGGTCTTGGGAGGAGCAATCATGCACATTTTTCCTTGTCATTTAAGTCAGGCAATAAAAACACACACGCACAGAGGTGAAAGCTAACCCTTAACTGTTTTCTCTACATATGTCCTTCAATAAATACTCGGTGGTCTCTCCACACTGAGAAATGCAAGCCCACTGTCACCAAGAGCAGAGCCACATTGGTCAGGACCCAACATTTTCAGCAGATAAGCAAAGATATCTCAAAAAGATAATCAAAATCATACCAGACCTGTAGTGACCTCAATTGCACTTAAATTTCGGCTGACAGTATTTGGCTCTAAATAGCACGAGATAAGAAGAAATGGAATTTTTTTCTGGAGCTATTTTAAGGGCAATGAGTGCTATACATAGAGTCAGAGTAAGTGGCTGAAGTTAAATTTAAAATACAGACATATTTTTGTTTTCCTGTTTCCAAATAGAGTCTCATCTGTTCCTAAGTCTGAATAACAGAAGCAAAAAGAGGAAAAAAAAAAAAACAAACCACAAAAAACCCACAAAAACCCCCCAAAACACAGTAAAGAATGCCATCCTCCTGCAACAAAAAACCAAGGCCTTTCAGTGTAGAAGGCAACACCAAAGGAAAACCATCTTTGGTTTCAGCTATTTTTGATATTGAAGGATAAAGCTTATTTCTGAGTCTTGCCTAAAAAATGGGCATAAATTCAAGTCTTCCAGAAATTCTACTATTCTAAAACAGTTCTAAAGCACTCTCACTGGTGCCTGGCTTCTCTAACTGTACACAAAAACCATTGCTTAAGTGAATGAGGTTAATTTATGGAAAATTCAGTATGCTTGTACAGAAAACCTTGCTGAGCTATCCATGTGTGGGCTTTGAAGCAAGTAACATAAACACTGAAATGTTCCATGTCACTGCAATACAATTAAATTTGAAATTTCAAGCAAAATGGACTTAAATGTACTTAATGTTGATATTTAGTGTGTAGAACTTAAACTATTTCCCATTATGTCTATTCTGCTGTCTATAGAAAATCTCTATGTGCACTGTTTCTTAGAAATACTTATTTCTCAGATGAAATTAACATGCATCTCTGTTACCTATATTTTTTTCTTTGTTTGTTTGTGGAGTATTCATTCTCTGTAACAAAAACATAATAGAAGGTGGTTTTATTTACTTCCACCTGAAAGGTGGTGTAATGTTGGAAGAGCCATCTCCCAAGTCATGCATAGAGAAATCTAAAATTCGGTTGCCATGCTAACAGGAAGTCACTCAACTAAGTCCAGTAAAACAAAAGTGCATAAATGACGTTTTCTGGTAGAAACAGGGAAATATTAGATTAACAAGTCTGTAGGTCCTGACAACTGTAGCCATAACTGCAGTTGTGTGACTCGGTAGAGCGCTGAATTTCTGCCAGCATTTAAATCTCCGGAGCACCAGCTGCTTCTTCCCAAGAGGACCACAGCTTCTCTCCCATCACCTGGGGCGTCAGTGCCTTGCCCGTGTATATCCCACACCGGGATGAACCCACCAGTCCCTCCCTCTGCCCCAGGAGCCGTCCCACGGCCCACTTCACCCTGCTCTGCCCCTGCCACCCGCATCTCGCCGTCCTCCAGGTCCCTCCTGGGGGCTTCCTCACAGGACTCCCGCCTTCCCTGGAGGGTTCCTGCGGACTGCTCCGGCGGCGAGCGAGGTGCCCTCGGGGAGAGCCGCCTGCGGGGACGCGGCGGCGGCGGCCGCCACCACCGCGGGGAGCGGGGCGTTCCGCGGCGCGGTTCCGCACCCAGCCGAGTGTGTGACATGTGAACCCCCGTCTGGCGCTGCCGGGGCCGCGGGGCTCTGCAGCAGCCGCGGGGGCGAGGGCGGGCCGGGGGGTTCCACCTGCGCGGGTGGCGGGCGCGGAGCCTCCTCCTGCCCCTCCTGCCCCACGGAGCCGCCCCCGCCCGCTCCCTCCGGCCCGCTGGGCGCTCCGCTGGGCTGCAGGTGTCACCCGGCGACCGAAGGATGCCGCTTCCCACGGCAGCCGCTGCCTGGGAAAAATACGTTTATTATATACTAGAGGAAGGAAGAGATCCTAATACTCCTCTGGACCACCACCAAGGGACAAAGGCGTGTACGATGTCGCTTTATGCTACTTGCGTCGGCGCAAAAAGTTACCTTAAACAGTCATAAGGACTTCTTTTTTTCCTTTTTTCCCCCCCTTTTCTTTGCAGAGAGTCAAAAAGGTAATCAAAGGCTCAGAAAGATAATAGATCTAAGTTGATGAGAACTTACTTGGTTTAGGTACTTGTGTTGACAGCCGGCATCTTCCGACAGCAGTTTGAACAGGTCACATTTTCCCATGGAAGTTGCACCCTTTTCAATCCCGTTTGTAAATTAAATCCCTTCAGAAGGTGTTTGTTTTATTTCACTGGCTGCCGTCCATCGCGGGCACTATCCACATTTTTTACTTTATTTTCTCCATGTTTGCCACACATGCAGACGCTCTGGGACGCACGCCACGAGTCAGCGGGTGCCCATCACCTCCGGCCGGGGGGACAGCGCCTGCCGCCGGGCTCCGCTGCAACAGATGAGAGGCAGGTTCTTCCCCGGTTGCTTAGCGCGGCGTCTCCTTGCTCCCTCGGGAAGCCTCATGCCGGCTGCCAAAAGTAACAGCTCCTCCCGACGCGGCGGTCCCCTCCGGAGCGCGGGCTGCGCGGCGCGGCGCGGGAGGAAAGACACCCCAATACCGGCAGAAGGAGCGCGGAGGGGCACACTCCGGGTTTCTCCGTCCTCGCCGCTGCTGCTCTCTCCCCGGAGCCGGCCGCGGGCTCTGCCTCGGCGGCGCCGTCCCGCCGCCCCCCGCCCGCCCGGCCGCCGCCCCCGCCGCGCTGCCCCCGCGCCCGCGACAACCGCTGCGCCCCCCCGCGGCCGCACCGCGCACCGCGCACCGCGCCGGGCTCCGCGCAGACACCGCCCCGGGGCGCTCCGAGGCGCTCACCGGCTGCGGCCCCCGGGCGCTCCGAGGCGCTCACCGGCTGCGGCCCCGGGCACGGGGAGGAGCGAGAGGGTGCCCGCCGAGAGCTGGAGCGGGGCTGGTCGGCGAGCCGAGAACGCGCACCGCTCGGGACCGCTCGGAGGCAGACGCACCAAGGAGCAGCCTGGACTCCGCAGAAAGTTCGCTGTTACATCGCTCCGCATTTGGGAAAGCCCTGAGCCGCTCCGTGCAGCCGCGGTGGGGCTCTGTGAGTCCGCCTTCGCTTCGAGCCCGCAGCCGAGGCTTGCTCCAGGTAGCTCACCCGACGCTCCTTCCCGGGCCGCAGCAAAGGCTCTGCCCTGGTTGCCCCACTCAGCACAGCCTCCAGCCGGGTGGTCCCTGCCCCTCCGGTGCCCCCGGGTCAGCCCGGCCTGGACGTTAACGGGACCGAGCCACAGCCAATATTGGTAATTGAGGACCAGAGGGAATGAGGCTGCTCAACGCCCATATCCTCGCTTTACTTTTCCTTTCCCTAAAAAGCTGTGACAGAACTTAAATGCACGAACTTAGAAATGGTAGGGAAAAGATACAATGTGCAGAGACAGAGATGCATAACAGAAGAACATCCATGTCTTCTCCGAGTTTTCCTTGTTTGGCTGGGGGTAATAATAATAATAATACTAATAATGATGATGATGGTGTGTATGATGATGATGATGACGATGATGATTTGAGGTCTGTTTGAACTCAGCCCTGCGTTGGGGTCTGGACACGATGCAGGGGGCCACCTGGCACCATGTGCAGAGCGTGCCGTGCCCGGGCGAGCATCCCTCAACATCCCAGCCCACTCCTGCCTCCCCTGACCCCCGAGAGGCTGGCCGCGCCTGGCACCTCCGGGCAGCATGCCACCGGTTTCGCACTTTGCCCGTCTCTTTGGTTGAGTAGTTTCCACCTGGGGGCCTTGAGAGAGAAGCGGAGTGAAACAAGCCCAGGGCAGCACCGGGCAGGGCTGAGTCCCAGCGGGGTGTGCAGTGTCGCGCAGGCAGCCCGGCCGCCTTTGCTTCCTGCACCGCCGAGACGGGAGTGTCCCTCGAGCTGGGTTTCACCTGCCTCGCTGGAGCACACCGAGGAGTGAAGCGCTTGCCAAAGCAAGCGAGCCTGAAAATGTCACTACAGCAAATGTGAAGGAGCTGCCAGCCACAGCACGCTCGAAGGCAACTGTGAGAATAAGCACCAGACCACCAGACCTCCACGGGCAGCAGAGGTGATGCAATTAATCTGCATTAAGCTGTGCAGTGAAAAATGCCAGATGGATTCTGCTCTGGGACTACCACGATTGCAGCATCAAGTCTCTGCATCAGACTGCTGTGTGAACCACTGGCATACGTATTTTAGATGTGCCCCAAGTTAGGCACTGCTGAGATTTCAGCAGAAACATAATGCCTTTGGGGAGGTGCTCAGAAAGCAGCCTCATGTCACTGAGCAGTGTGCAGCACAGGCAGGCTGTAACAGGTCTCTGCGGGTCTCTTCCTAAGAGATGCCAATGGAACACGTGAGATCAACTCATGTCAGCTCAAATACAGATCAAATACCAAAAGCAAATGCTTGGAAAGCTGAGCCAGTCATTCTAGTAAGCACACATCCATGTAGTCAAATGTTTGGGTAGACCCATGCATGCATATCCACACAAAGGCAAGGAGAGAGAGCTGGGTAAAGAGAGGTGCACTAGAGGGCCAGAGAGCCTGCCATGAAGGCTATGGCTTCTCCATCAGATTTCATTGGAATTGGCAATGTAAGCACATCAAAATATTATTGGAGCATTTGTACGTCTCGTGCTGGCTACCAACAGCACTGGTATTGCTCTGTGTTGCTACAGATTGGAAGTGTAATCACAGCTTGCTTTCAGAGGCACTTCCCAGAGCAGAGTGCTTTTCTTCCTCCATATATTTCCTTATTAGATCATGAGAAGCCAACTTCTGAGTGTTATATTTAATTTTTCACAAGCAAATACCTCTATAATTAACAGTATTTCCTATGCCTTTTTATGCATATTGTGACATTTCTACTCTGCAGGGGTGAGTACAACATGGCACTATCAATGTGTTTTACGTTTTCTGGCATTTTACGTATCATAACCCATTAGCAGTCTCCCAAGCTTGTAATTCCTTATTAAACTAATGTTCAGATAAAATCTCTGTGGTATTACTCAGATGAGAATTAAGTAAACAGAATTTTACCTCTGTTTCAGGACAGTGGAGTTGGGATCCTTGCAACATTTTGAGTGCATGCTAGTATGTTTTATTCCTAACATGTAGCTAGCTGCCAAATGTTTCTCAGCAGTAAATGCTTGGCCAGAAGATAGAACTAAAGGGGAAAAATTAAATACTCTGTGAAACCTATATCACATATTGAGGTTTTAGGGGTAATAAACAGCACGATTGGGCCTTCCTTTAATCTGCTCATAGTGTCACACCAAAATGAGTCCCCCTTAGGAACCTTCTCCATTTCTACCTCCCATGTTGCATCCTCCTTCTCAGAACACCTACTGACACATGCTCAAGTGCTGACCATTTTCAATTCGGCCAAATCTTATATATCCAGAAAACCAAGCAGAATGGGACTTTCCCTTCTCTCTGCAGTTTGTGCAAATATCTCTAGGATATATCTCTTGGTTTTATTTAATGAACAGAAAAACACAAGATTAAAGACAGCTTGAAAAAGAAGATGGAGCATTTAGGAAATAGTAATTGATTTCACCTTCTAATATTAGTGAGTACAGGTAAGAACAGCTGCAGCAGCTGTGATTCAGTGTAACTTTAGCCAAATCAGGTAAGCTGACTCAGCTTACAATCTTTAAAGAAGAAAGGAAAAAGAAATGCAGAAATTTTAACTATATTTGTTCATTCAGAACCAGGTAAAATATGCCATAATATTTTTATGTCTCAGCTCCTTTTCGTTATGCGTTAATGAACACTTTTCCTACTAGTATGGACTAAGAGACTATGAAATTTTCTCCAAGGTGGAGACTTATATGTGTAAGAAAGAAACTTATACTAATTATTTAAAATAATTGTATTCAATTTATTAAAAAGTCATTTCTATTATTTTTTTTTTTAGCTGGGAATAATGGAGAAAGATTTTCTCAGACTTATTATTCTCATTTAATTTTAAATATGCTTCTACCAATCTATTGCTCATTAGCAATGATGTAAAATCACACAGCACAATAGTATCTCCTCTTGCAGTTAAGATTTTTTTCCTATGTTTGTTTTGGAGACTACACTTGTACACAGAACGAGGCTTATAATTTTTTTCTCTGCATTAATCTAATTCATGAAATCTGTAACAAGTTAATTTCATTAATTCTATTGTTACAGCCCCTGCAGTTCTCCCAGACAGAACTCTGCAAGCAGCAAATGGTTCTTGCCAGCCCACACCAAGCATTCCATACTATTAAGTCTTTCCTTCCACATAACTCAGTGTATTACCATTTATGTACTTAAATACCATTAGACAAAACTCAAGTTTCTGAGACTCGAGAAAAGAGATTCTATTTATTAACGGACTGAACAATGTAGATTCTGTGAAAGAAGGTGGAGAATCCCCGTTAAAATCTTTCATTTTCTATGAAACATTTACTGGCAGAGATATCATTCTTGTGGAGGTTTAGTGGGGCAAAAGGGTTGTGAGTGAGAGAGACAGGAACATGCAAGGGAAAGGAAAAGTAGAGGAAAAGATTGATCCAGGGATGTGAATAAATAGCAGCACTTTCTTTTAAACAAGCTAGTACTGACCTCAGCTGAAGGACTCTTTCACTCAGGTTATCTTTCTATGCCATATGCCAGACTAGAATCTTGAACTATATTTCGTGTTTGTCTTTGGTTGTGGTTTTTTTGTTTTTGTTTTTTTGGGGGTTTTTTTGTTTGTTTGTTTGTTTTTTGTTTTGTTTTGTTTGGGGTTTTTTTGCATTAAAAGGTGAAAATAAAAAGCCAGAACAGTCAAACACAAGCGAACTACTAGAAAAAAAAGTTGGTATTTGCTCAACCTTAATTTCACATCATGACAAGCAGGTTCTTGTTTGACTTTTTCTCAAGCCTTCCAGGTTATTCAGGTAAGAAGATATTTGGTGTTTGTATTTTAATACAGGGAAGAAAGTTGCTTAGATTTATTGACAGTTAAATTGCTATTTCATTTTATTATTGCAGTTTACATTGGAAGTATGCAGAATTATATGTAGATTCCCATTTTATTACTACTTAAATCTCAACAATTCATATTTTTGGTGGACAGCAAGCAATTAGACTTATTTTATCTGCCTACATTTGTCAGTTTCACAGAATTAACATCTGTTATTTTTACTGACATGCTGCAAACTCTTTCTCCTTTCTTCTCCTAACCAGAGTTTTTGAATGACTTGAGCTTGTTTTTCTCATGTCAGAGAGTGGAACTTGGTGCAATAAGGTTCACTGCTTTCTTTTGCAGTTTTTTAATGAATAGTTGAACAACATTATTAAAGGTTTTGGTGTTTTTCAAAGTAATTTAATTTTTGTCCTTTGATTATTTTCATGTCTGTGCTTCCCAGAAAGCACTTACTTTCTGTCAGAATACTCAGCTGTTGCATTTTGAGGTTTTTCTGGCACAGTCTTTCAGTGTCGGGGTTTGAGGAAGGAAAGATCTAATGAAT